CCTGTCAATGTAATCGCCAGTTTGGCAGCATTCCGGCCGTCAGTCAGGGAAAAAAAGGCTCCAACTCCCGACATGAAAAATGACACGATGAATAATGTGTTTGCTGTTAACAAGTGAAAACATCTTAAATATCGCAGTTTTGCATAAAACTGAAATAATATACTAACCTTTCGTCGAGTTAACGGTGCATTTCTCTTTTGTCCTTTTACAGCCACTTCCGCCAAACAGTCAAAAAATAACTCCCTTGCCGTTGGTCAGTTTTTCGCGGGCAAGTTCACTACTGTAAATTGATTTACAGTAGTGAGGAAATACAGTAGTGACCGTATATTTTCCCATAATCCTTTGCGGTTTACAGTGAAATACTGTATACACATTTTACAGTATCTTACTGTACATATTACAGTATAATACTGTTCAAAATACAAAAATCAGTTACAGGGTATGTCTCCAATTTACAGGGGACGTTTGGTTGAAAACGCTAATATTAAGAATGTTAGGGAACACATTTGGCTTGCTCATTGCATTGACTGTATCACAGTAATGAATTTCACTCATATCTTATATTGTAACACATTCTTTTCTTGGTGTTTTGTCCATCAGGTATCCCCTTCATCTGTTTTTTGCTGGTTTTGCCTTTGAGTATCCCATGGGCTGAAATCGAGTGGTGGATAGGAGTGGTGCATTATTTGGCTTGTCTCTCTCCCACCATTTGTTCAGTCTTCTACCATCTCTTTATGAACCATGAGGGTGGAGCACCTATTTATGACACACTGCTGTGCTTCGACATGTTTGGTGTCTGTCTCGTCAACACTCTTGGTAAGCTCCAAAATTTAGGACTATACAGAGATTCCTGTTATATACACAGCATTGATGAGCCAATTAAAATTCTGATTCCTTAATTAAATATGAATCGACAAAAAAATTGTTAAAGTCTAGCTCTATATATTTTCTTCTATATTGTGATGTGTATATACAAGTGCAATGAATTATCAAAAAAGTCTTGCACACATCACCAGAGAGAAGTCTGTTGTTTTCACCGGAACACTGATGGTCATCATGTAAATTAATAATAATAATAAAATGTAAAAAAAAAAAGTTAACTCAGAATACAAATACTCACATGTTTATAACATGCATTTAGAAAATAGTTAGTTTTTTTCATTTCACGTCAACTTTAACACATTATTTATGTCCAATGTAAGTACCTCTATAACCTTGATTTTTTTTTTAAATGTAAAAAGTTGAACCAGTTTTTACCTATGGTGTGTTAAAAGCGAGCACATGACAGTAATGGGTCCAACTTAAATATGTACATAAATTTCAGGATGTGGTGCATCCTTGGGAATAATTAATTTGGGTCTAAAATAAACTGCTTTCAAAATATGGCTTTCCAAAAAAAAGTGGTCTCTTGGCTCAACTTGCCTCCAGTGAGGGGTAAATTGAGCCTAGGGAGAGGGTAAGTTGAGCCACATGGCATTAAACTGTGCCACTGATTATACTGAAGTAAAACAGAATATTTTCACCTCATGCTGTATCAAAGGACGAGAAATTCAATAAAAATTACTTAAAATCTATGTGTGAGCCTTGTGATGGACTGGCCCTAAAAAGGACATAGGTTTGGATAATGGAATGGATGGATGGATGGATGACTTAAAAGTTTTATTTAAAGATACAGTTCACAAGTCTGAAGGCGTTTTTAAATTATTAAAACATTTCAGAACAAAAAGTTCAAATTGAAGATTAAAAAAACTGACCTTACAGAAATGGGATAATAGTACTCAACATCCCACTTATAAATGTTGCAGGGAAATACAATTTCATAAAAACTTCAGTGGCCAATTTTCATAAACAAGGCCTATTTAAAATTTACAGAACAAAATCAAGTTCAGAACAAAATCAAATCATGTGTGGTGTAAAATTAATTAAATATAATGTATAATTACAGTAAAATAATACTGTATAATCATAAGAAGGGGTGAGCCACTGGCTCAACTTACCCCAGGACCTTTGGCTCAAATTAATCCACTCCTACCATTTTAACAAACTTGTATCATCCAGCAGTTTAGAGTGCTAACATTATAGCCTCATATTATAACCTCCTAAAGCACAAACACGTGTGATTTTTTTTCTTTTATTTTTTTCAGATTTGTAATTGTTCAGACACAAGAAGCACGAGTCCTTGAAAATATAAACATCACTTTAAAAAGTGATGAAAAACTTTTTGAACCTAAATGTAGTTACCAAATATTCCATGGGCCTCTCTCCATCACAGGGTGAGTAAAATGCTTAAATATTCAAATATGTGTGGTCATAATACCCATTTTGTTTAAAGTTTCTAGAAACAAGGGGTGGCTCAACTTCCCCTCAGGCTCAAATCACCCCGCTCTCCCCTATATGCCACAAGTCGAGATGAAACAGTATGATGCAGTTTTACAGTACGCTGTAGATTTTAAATACATTTTCTCATTCATGGTATTGCATGAATATACCAAGTAAAGGAGTTACATTTCCATTTTCTATTTTTGTTCAATTACGGGAGAATTATAAAATAACCTTTCTTCAGCTCAAACAGTAGAGCATTGCGCTAGTAACACTAAGGTCATGGGTTCGATTCCCAGGGAAAGCAAGAACTGATCAAGAACTTTTAGTAAAAGTATGTTAGCCTTATTGTAATCTATAAGCTATAGGTTTTCTGCAATCACCTGCTCTCTAGAATCAGAAACATCGCTTACATAATAAAAAGACACTAAAGCGGCATCTGAAATCAGTCCCTTTTCCATTTGGTGAATGGCACATAGGAATAGTGAGCATATCGAACAGTATAAATATGCTTTCCATTTGGGAAAATGAAGCCCCTTGACATTATAAACAGCACTGAAGTAGATCACCACTGCTGTGCACCAACATACATTTTGATTTCGAAATATTACACTTATTGGGGCATTTATATTTCTGAAGGGGGCCTCGAAATCGCATTCCAAGGGGAGGTCGCCCTTGGTTGAAATTGCATTCTCGCGGCCCCGACCCTGCTGGAAAAAAAAGAAAAAGCTAAACTTAGCCTAATCTGGTTGATTGGTTTTAGAGAGCTTTTGACCATTTCTGGTTAGGAGACTAGCTGACCAACCAGCTAAAACCAGCTCAGCCAGGCTGGAAGACCAGCCAACCAGGTTTTATCAGTTTTTATTTTCTTTTCAGCAGGGGACACTGATTGTTGATTCTTTCAAGAGCCATTATTCAATGAATTCCCTGTACTTTTCTTTTTGCAGGTGCTCTGCCAATCGTTCACATAACTTTGTTGTGTTACCCATCATCCCGCCTTGTGGCGACGTTGGCATATCTCCTTCTCTCTGGCTACGGTGTTCACTGCGCTGTCTCTGCTCAGAGTAATGTGCACCGCCTGCAATCCTTCGCCTGGCAGGCGATCTTCCGGTTCTTTCTCTTTATGTTGCGTCTGACTGGCGCAGGCAGAGGAAGCCCTGCATCTCTTCGCCTCTACCTCACCATGGATACTCTTGCATTGCTAGGAGGACTAGTCAATATTTCCCGCCTTCCAGAGCGCTTCAGTCCTGGACGGTTTGACTACTGGTTTAATAGTCACCAGATTATGCACATCATGGTAGTCCTGTCCATTGTGTACTTACACTGGGGCACGCTGGAGGATTTAACATGGTTAAAGGGATATCACTGTCCCGGTGAATAAACTTAAAGACTGATAATTCATCATGATATTTAAAGAACTGCAGGGAAATTACTGTAAAACCCAAAGTGTGATGGCACTACGGTAAAGTGGTTATATCAGTTGTTTATGCCATGATACCTTCTTTGAAATACATATTTACAGCTACCAAGTGACATGAATTTGCACTACAGATGTTAATGGCACACAACCTTGGACGACAACAACAAAAGATAGGGAGAGTCTGTTACCTTTGGCTGATAGTCTAATATTTGACTATTTTATGCATGCACAATATGGCTAGTTGGCCTGTGTCGTTTTCCCTGCTGCCATATTAAAACAGACCTACAACCCATTTTAGAGTTGAGAAACAGAATACCATGTTGCAAATCCTAAAAAATAAAATAAAAAGTGAAGCTTTGTGAGAGCTCTTTAAAAAGGAGTAAAATTGTTGTTTCTTACAAGCTTTCTTTGGTGAAGTTTTGTCAAAATATTGAATAATCAAATGTGAAATATTGCACTTTATGCTTCAAGTTTTGGAAATCAGATCCAAAAGATTGTATTCTGGATGGCACTACCGTTGGCGAATCTGATGCTTTCTATTTACATGGTGCTACATATGTCAAATATGAAATGTATATCAATATAAAATATTACTTGAAAGTCTTTCTCTGTAAGTCACTGAAGTATACCATCTGGGCACATGTGGGGAAATGAGAATACATTTGAGAGTATGCACTCATATGGTCAAATTTACCCTTATGGCACGTAAAATGTAAAAATGTGAGAAAAAAAAAAGAGACATCAGTTGGACTTCATAATTTTAATGCAGTGACAGGTACACAAATATTTTATGTTCAGTAAACATGACTAAATAAAGATGTAATTTGAGGTTTAGTGTTAATTTATGGCTGCCATAAGAAATTACTCAACGTAGGAGTCCCTTTAACCCCAGTTTAAGAATACTTTACTTTTGACACAAATGCTAGAATACAGCCTTTTAAAGTATACTCTCACTGATCCATTTGAAAACAGGCTGTCGACACATGCGCAATAGAACGTTTCTTTGTCCACTGTCTGTGCTATTAGCCTGCTGCTGTAGTGAAACTTCAACTATGTGTATAAATTATACACAAAATAAATGTAATTTCTTATATTATCTTTACATGGCAACATGTATATTCAAGATTCAAAAAACTTTATTAATCCCAGAGGGAAATTGCTTTCCATGTTACAATTGCTCTCAAGAAAGAAAGAAAGAAATGAATGAAAGAAAGAAAAAGATTATAAAATGAATAAATATATACCTATATATCAATAAATTAAAAATGAATAAGTAAAACATACAAATAATAATATAAAACTATACCAGTGAAAATGGTAGTTTAGATCAAATATGAAATTAATTAAAGTGGAATGGAATGACAAATGTGGAATATAATAAGTCCAGTATGGTAATGGTAATTAAGTACAGTAGTTATATAGTATGTATTGCACACTAATCTTAGTATTAATAAATAGGCAGTATTAATAATAATAAATTGCATTGCACAAGAAAAGTCCCTTATTGCACATGAAATGAACATGTATTTCACATGCATTACTCATAAATGTCCCAGCACTTATAGAGGAGTTGTACAGCCCGATGGCCACAGGGATAAAGGATCTTCTGAAGTGCTCAGTGGAACACTTGGCAGTAATCAGTCGCTGGCTGAATGTGCTCCTCTGGTCGACCAGCACACTGTGTAGTGGGTGAGAAGGATTGTCCAGGATTGAGTAAAGTTTTGACAACATCCTTCTCTCAGCCACAACGTGAACAGGGTCCAGCTCCATGCCAAGTACAGAGCCAGCCCTCCTAACTAGTTTGTCCAGTTTATTTCTGTCTGCCACCTTCATACTACTTCCCCAACAGACCACCGCATAGAAAATGACACTAGACACCACAGACTCATAGAACATCTGCAGCATAGTGTTGCAGACGTTAAAAGACTTGAGCCTCCTCAGAAAATACAGCCTGCTTTGACCTTTCTTGAAGAGTGCTGTTGAATTTGATGTCCAGTCCAGTTTGTTGTCTATATGGACTCCCAGGTATTTGTAATCTGCAACAATCTCCACTTCCTCACCATGGACAGATATTCTCTCAGCCACAACGTGAACATGGTCCAGCTCCATGCCGAGTACAGAGCCAGCCCTCCTAATTCGTTTGTCCAGTTTATTTCTGTCTGCCACCTTCATACTACTTCCCCAACAGACCACCGCATAGAAAATAAGACTAGACACCACAGACTCATAGAACATCTGCAGCATGGTGTGTATTGGCATGGTATTGTGATCAGAGCTACTGCCATGACAGTGATGTGTAATGATGTGTTCAAGTCCTCCTGGGAAGTCGTAATTACAATGTCAGGTACAATCAAGTCACTTTGGTCAGCTCAATACAACCTTTTCTACCAAAAAATAAATAAATAAAATAAAACAAAATAAGCACAATTTTTAACTCTACTTCTACAAAATGATGAATAAGGAATGCACATTAGGTGTGTTTTTGCTTTTTTATGGTTTTGTTCAATTTGTGAAGGTGCTGTAAATTGAATACAATATATTAGTAACCCGACTGAACTAGACACTTTTGCGACTGCCACGTCCCATGTGAAAGGGTGTTTAAAATCGATCGTGTTTCAGGAGTGGAGATTTGAACCTGGGGTGAAGTGGGAGGGGGGGCCTGGCTGACTATTAGCATAGCCTAGGGTACCTTCTTGTTTTAGGGAAGTTCATTTTTGGATTAAACATCCATAAATAGCCTTGACATCTTAATATATTATATTTTACTAAGCTACTTTTTGTCTAAAGTTTTTGTCTTCTGTGTAAAAATAACTTACCTGGGTATAAAATTTTGTAATAAAATTAAGCTTGTTTCATAAACTTGCTACTGATAACAGCTTAACATTATTTACCTTAGCCTACCTTTGGGGTCTTTTTACTATATTCCAATATCATTATGCCTCAATTAGCTAGTTATAGATTAAGTTGTTGTTTTAGATGTGTGTTTAATAATTTTTGTTAAAATAACATTCTGTTCCGTAAATGCATTGTCTGCTGGTTTATTTAGCTACTTTTCAGTACACCACATTAAGTATGCCACTTAGCACTGTAAGACTTTGAATGTTAAAGTGCAAATTAACACCTGACCACTCTTGTGGGTTTGCTACTGTTACAATTAAAAATCGTAGAAGAGTAAAAACATAACAGGCAGTCACTGGTATGATGTAAGCAACACAGCTACAACAAATAGAACTGATAATGGGTGTGTTATATTTATAATGTGCGAATAATCAAGCATTGACAAGAATCAGTCGTATTGGCGGCACTGAGGGGCCCCCCCATGTAAAATTCTGCTTAGGGCCCCATAAAGGCTTGGGCCGGCCCTGGAGATTTTTTTTGTAAAAGAAATATAACAATTGATTTCAACAAATCTATAGTCAATACAGATGCTGCATCTATTGTGTCCAACATGTTTTCTCACTGACATGCCCCCAACTCGAAAGCTCAGGGCTTAAATAAAAGCTCTGAGTTTCCCACTCATAATTACGACTTTTTGGTGCCATTTATGTGCATTAAATTCATAAAAATGATCTTTCCTACATGACTTGAATGCACCATAAAACATGAGTCACCGTCATCAAAGAAGCTACACTAAATCTAAGCTACATATTGACTGGAAACTGCTCCTGCATCATGGCTAGGTAACTTGCGATTGTATCGCTAATGGAGTCTAAAGTGTGTGACATTGTAAATAGAATTTATAGCATCGTGTGTATGCTTAGCTCTGGCCTTTTAAGTGTGACTACTTGGGTATGTTTGCCACCACTTCCGTATGTAACAAACTATGACATGGATAAAGGACTGGCCAAATATGGATAGCAATTTCTGAATAGAATCTAATCACCTCTGAGAACAAATTTCAAAATTGGCACAAATGGGTGTTATTCTGAGTAGTGCATATAGAGAAACAGTTGAACATTTACCATGGGTGTTTTCAAACCTGGCTCGTTTGGAGCATTTGTTTCGAAACGTGCACATTTTCTTCCTTAGTTTGGTTTGTTTTCCATTCGTAATTGCTCTTCTCTGAAACAGGTGCTTTGCAAGAATGCATTGCAGTTTAAGTACCCGTGTCAGAACTATGCAAATAATCCACAGGTCTGAAATGCCTTAAGACTCTAGATTAATTTGCAATTATTTACAATTAAATGTTTCAAAGACTGCAGAGTACCCACTTTGCAATGTGGATTATTATACATCTTTGATAAGGATTTATAGAGTAATATATGTTCAGTACTTTTTAACATTCTTCAGATTTCCAGCTTAATAATCACTCCAAATAATCAATTATACTGGTGTTTTGTGAGGTTTCAACTGATTTCTAAACCTTTATTAAGGCCATAACTGAGTTTCATTCCATTTAGTCCAAACTGTGAAGCATTTCCACCCTTTCATACCAAATCCTTTTGCACAAGAGCATGATGTTAGTCTTCATCAGAGCTGCTGTCCTCCTCAGCTTCAGACATGTCAGCGATGGGGAACCTCAGGATGGCCACCACTCCACTCAGCTGATTCAACTCTACAGAGACAAATCACAAGTCAGTTACATGACGATCCAATATAATTCTCTCTGAAACAAAGACTATAGAAATGAAACTTACGTTCTCCAGATACATGTAGGCTTGAGAAGATTCTAAAAAAATATTATTAAACAGGAGAAACAAAAATTTAAAAAGAGCTAAATATTTTGCATAATATAAGAATATGGCCTTACTGGATTGAAAATCATATGAATACCTGACATTTCCTCCATTTTCCTTCACGTTGTCTACAAGCTGAACATACCGGCTGCGGGTGGCTATGTCTTGATGTCTGTCATGAAAAAGAAAAAATACACGCACACATATACATACATATATATACAGTGGGTACGGAAAGTATTCAGACCCCCTTAAATTTGTTTTTAATGAAGTACACAATTAAAAAAGAAAAGACCATTACATTAGGACTGTATTACTTTTTAAATGTACCTAAATAGTTTGTCACTGATCATCAAGATGTCAATGGCTAAAGCTTCACTCGCTCTTTCCACATGAGCCAATCTGTACAGAGCAAAAGCTTTATTAATAGATGTAAAGACTGTTTAAAACAATGTCTCAAGAACATGTTACATAGCACAAATGTTTTGGTTACACAGTCCACTTTAGACATTCTACTAACTACAGAAGTAACATTGCTAGTGCTACTACATGTCAACTAACTCTCATTAGAGTATTAGTAGACTGTTAGTAGAATAATTTGACACATACTTGCAAAGATACTTACAGTCAGTAGAAAGTCTGATGGGGGTCCTTCAAAATAAAGTGTTAGCAGATATTAGTCTACTAATACTCTAATGGCTGGTAGTTGACTTGTAGTTGCAAATTTTCATACAGTTAGTAGAATGTCTAAAGTGGACTATTAAAATAAAGTGTTACCAATGTTTTTTTTTCTTCTCATTGAGATTCTGTGTAATATTGACAGGAATGAATTTAAATGGTAGTGACTCTGATCACCCATAGAAAGCACGATCAGGCTCCTGTTGAAGCATCTTGTAAAAGTCTTCCAAAGCCTTGAC